GATATTTGTTTGGTTGGGTAGAGGAACACTGGCTGTTGTCTGATCAGATGGTTAATTTGAAATAAACAAAACTTATTTCACTTAAATATAGAAATCGCCCGATTAGTCACCCCAGTCTTTAATACAATGCGATAAAGTTTAGGGTTACTAGGCTGCAGGTGAAGCAGTAATTCGGTATGATCTTAAGCTGAATATGTTCTGATTGGTGTAATAGTGATAAATCTTGGAAACATCTCTCACAGTGGCTGCAATTAATTTCCCGTCCTATATATGACCTAAAAAAGTAACATTGAATAAGAAGGATTCCTTCTTGATTTCAACTCATGCTTGGGTCTTGACTACCTCATCTGCCTCCAAAAGGTAACTCTGATCTGACGCAATGGAGCACACTTCCAGCTAATTTACTGAGAAGAAGTAAGGGTCTAGCATAGGAACTTTAAATTGCTTAAGCAGTTTCAACATTTTCTGTTACTTCTCTTACCGCTGTCACCTACTACGCTTGATACTTAGGAAAATAAAGTCGAATGACTCTAAATAGCCAATGTTATGTTTACATTACGTAAGGACGCGAAAATACGTCAGTCTGATTAAAGTGGTATTATCACAGTTACCACTGTGGAAGAAAAACAAACGCTTTCACTTGCATAAAAAGTGGTCGTATTTTGCCCTCATTTTATTGGATTTTACAATTAAATTTCCATTTTTTAGCGTAATGCAATAATTTTTAACATTTGAAGATAAAAAAGGTAATGATATTGAGAAACCACGCTAACCTGTGCACAAAATATTTGCTACTTATATAATGCAAGTAAATCGTTTTTGCAACTAGCAGAGGGATTGCTTTTAATAGAGGAGTTAAATATAACAGTGTAGGCGGGACCTTGGAATAGTTAATGCTAGTATATGTGAAGGTTAACATGTACATTCACAGACTTACCAACTCTTCTACACCCTTATACCTCCAATTTATTCAGAATTGCCCATTATCTGACTTCATCAAAGTGTTTGGGCGAAAAAATTTTGTAATGGAGACCTTCTAACCCCTTTGTAAAACGTTTAAAGCCTTATCTTTCATTCGCCTGTCAGGATGCAGGAATGAATCCTGAAAATGCTCTGGACTAGCCATGTAAGCTAGTGTCATTTTATGACGGATGCAATGGTATAATACTAAGTCCTTTAAGAGATCAAGGGGTGCGAATTCAGCTTATATAAAATTGATTCCTTTAATCGGTTTCGGTCTGTCTGTTTTGTATTGCCTGGCCTTCTTTTCTACATGGAATAATTACCTAAAGGAACGTGTCTATGGAATACAAAGTATAAGGGTATGCGGAGTGAAATGGTTCCACATTCATCTTAGAATTAAGTAAGATTAGGAACCCTCTTGAGCTGTCTTATTAGATCGAAAATTTCCTTTCTACTGTATCATTACTCCTCCTCTTTCTTAAGATGAATTATAGTGGAGTCATGTATCGCGGCGGACTTGACATTGACATGAAACGTGCCAATTAATTGTGGGAACAATGTACACATCGTTGGCACACAAGTGATGCCAAAGTCATGTCACTTATCTCACTAGCAATGCTGCATGAACAATTTGAATGCTGCCGAAGAAGTAAAGAAAAGAAATGCGAGTCACTGATGCTTCCCACTATTAACTGTCAGTGCATGTGGATGGGACTCGTTTAATTTGCTACTGTACACTACCACCACCACCGCTACCTGATTTTCCATAATGAAGCACTTATTCGCCCACACAGACACAACGAGACATTCAACCAACCGACTGAGATAGGTGAATCCATTTTATTAAAAAACGCAATGCCTTCTTGACAGAAACACTTTACTGTCGAATAATTTAAACCCAAAGGTAATATTTTAGCCCATTTCTGGATAGCAGACTTTACCAACAAAGCATTTTAACTAGCCAAAACTATGCAACAGGCATCATTGGTTCTAAAATCAAGTTAAATTTGATTTGTAAAGGTGACCAGCTCAAATCACACGCCGACATTGAATGATGTGAGGATGGAAACGAAAATCTCTGACTTATAAAAAGTGCGTGTGTACAAGGGAATGCAATTACCAGAAGGGCTTTACGATCAATCTCACTAATTCTTAGCCTTCTTATAAAGCCGAAATTAGTATATAAATCAAATGTAGTAAAAATATCCAAAAAAACGGTGCACAAAGTTTTCAAAAAGCCTGAAATGCTGTTTAAAATGAGGAAAAACATCATATAAAGGGCTGCAAAGTAAATATTAAAAGATGCTCTAATGTCATTGTTAATTACAAAAAAGAACTAAAGAATAAAGTCAACAGCTCTTCTTTCGTTGAAATTTGTGCATAAAGTTTGCGCTTAATGTGAAGTAACACAAGCTTCGTTAAGGTGTACACCTACTGATAACAATTAAGTGGCAAAAGTATGCGGCAGAATTTAAATGTAGAAATGATTTGGGTGCAAGAGTGAAAATATGGTAAATACATATTAATGCCATCGTTTCGTGTGGACTACACGAAGATGACAG